TGGCGGCAATCCACTTCTTATCCGGGTCAATGAAGAGGCCACAGTCCTCCACCCGCACTGGCTTGCCCACTGCCTGCGACTTCAGCTGCTCATAAGCCTGCACAGCCACCTTCTCATTGTCGATCCCCCAGGCCATGGCTCGTGTCTGCACACTGGGGCTGGAGTCCACTACTGCTTTGAGGTAGGACTGTGGCACCTTGTCAGTCTTGCCATTGGCAAAATTGCTGTTGGCGATCCTGGGGGCCATGGAGGCAGTGATGCGGTTTGCCCGCCACTCATACCACTTGGGGTTGCTCCGCTGGCCACGGGTCTCCTTCTCCACACGTGGGATGTCCTGGCTCTCCAGCGGGGGCAGGAACCAGCCATAGGCCCTGCTCAGGGCATCCCCAGGCTGCTGCTTCTGCGGACATGGGTTAGGTCTGGCTGGACTGGCAGCTGCTTTGGTGTTGGGTCTGGCTGGACTGGCAGCTGCTTTGGTGTTGGGTCTGGCTGAACTGGCAGCTGCTTTGGTATTGGGTCTGGCTGAACTGGCAGCTGCTTTGGTATTGGGTCTGGCTGGACTGGCAGCTGCTTTGGTGTTGGGTCTGGCTGAACTGGCAGCTGCTTTGGCATCTGGTGCCTTCTGGGTTGCAGAATAACTTCCGGTGGATGCTCTGTGCTGGTCCCCAGCACCTCCTTGGGCTCCGCGGGATGCTGTGGGTCTCTGCTGAGAGGAGTCTGGCTTTGCTCCCTGCCCCCGGCTGGGGCCAGTAGCCCTGGCAGCTGCAGTCCGGGCCTGGGTAGCCGAGGCGGAAGGCGGTGGTGTGGAGGGGGCAGTTTTGGAGGCGGTGGTGGCCGGCCTAGGGGATGACCCGCTGGTGGCATTCTTCTGGGGTCTCCCCATCGCTGTGTGTCAGAGGATGTGGTGCTGTGGGTACAGAATGAAGTTGAACACACACCCCCTTTCCCTTCCTCTGATCCTCCCTGCGCCTGCCCCTGGATGCCGACATCACCTGTCTACACAGGCTGCCAGCACTGTCTGTCCCCACGCCTTCTCCCGGGTGACACAGCCCAGGGGTATGCTGCCACCACTCCAAAACCCACCCCTGCGAGGGACTGGGGCAGCCCACGCAGGCTGTGCTCCTGTCCAGTGCGGGGGTACAGGGACATGTTCCCGAGGCCACGTCCGCAGCGTCGAGGGAACGGTGCCCTTGGGTACCGCTGCTGCACCGGGACCTGGCGGAATCCCCGAGGGCCCATCGCGGGACACGCGTGGGGAGGCGAACCCAGCACCGCCCCGGGAGCCCCAGCCCATGCCCTGGGCCGGGCCCGCAGACCCCCGGCGGCTGCCCCCCGCTGCCAGCGCTGCCCGCCCTCACCGCTCCGCCGCCGCTCCGGAAGCCTGCCCCGCCCGCACCACGTGCCCGTAGGAGCGGGATGGGGCGGGGAGCCGGGGCTGGGTGCAGCCGGCCCGGCCGAACCGCCCCTTTCCTTCCGCCGTCGCTCCCCGCTAGAGGGAAGCAGGCGTTCGGCCATCCCTGCCCGCGGGAATCTGCCCGGGCATGCCCGTATCCGGTTCCTTTTCCTCGCCGTGGGTGCCCCGAGCCCTGGGAACACCAGGGTGCTCCAGACTGGGGACGACCCCCTGCAGCTTCGCCCGCGCCCTGCTCCCTCCTCCCTCCTCCCCTTCTCCCCAGCCGCGAGCCTTTTGGGGTGGTTTCTCTTCCCGGTTCTCTTCCCCCTGCCCCTCTCCCTTCTCCCCACCCAACCTCTCCAGCCCAATTCCTCAGCCGCCGCTCGTAGGAGGGGTTCCCAGCCCCCTGCACCCCATCTCTGTCTCCGAGCCTGGCATGCAGCCCCCCAGATTTACCCTCGGGCTCCCATGCAGAGGGGCAGGCTGACCTGATGGGCCCCACTGCGTTGCTGAGCCCCAGTTGCTGCTGACACTGTGTTGGCCTGAGCTGGTCTGAAACACCACAGTCCACTACCACCCGACCCTCGGAAGATGGTTAGTAGTGAGGAGCTGGAGCGATAATGCACACCCTTGGGCACGCTGCTGCTGCTGCTGCCGCCACTGCTGCCGCCGCCAGTGCTGCTGCTGTGAAAGGAGGCTCTCCGTGGAACCTACCTCAGAGCCTGGGCAAACACTTCAGCCTCTGTACAGGAAGCGGAGGCAAGCGTCAGCAGTACGTCGGGTTTCTGGTTCCCAAAACCCAAAGAGTTTCACTTTCAGCAGCGAGCCTGGTGCCTCAGCAAGATCTGCGGTGAGCCAAGGTTAGGTTGCAGAGTGAGCACAGCAGCCCCATGGGGTGGATGCTGTGAGATCCCTGTGCCCAACCCACAGCTGCAAGCCCCGCTATTTTTGGCTGTGGAAAGAAAATCCAGCAGCCACCAGTGCGTGTCCTGGGCCTGTGTCAGAGCTATGCCTGCTCCAGCATCCTGGGAGGGCTTCCATTATGTCTGGGCAGGAGCACTGGCAGCTTTCCCAGCTCTTTTCCCCAGGAGTCCCTGACGTCTCCGTATCTCTCTCTGCTTATGTTTCATTTCCTGCTGCCTTCTCCCTGCAGCCCCCCTGTAAATCCCTGCAGCTGGGCAGGCCAATATTACACAAGTTAAACCAAGGCGTGCCTGATTTCAACCAGAAACACCGCCAGCATTCTCCTCATCCTCTATGGCTATCCATCCTCAGGATCCCCTTTAATTTGTTCTGATTAATGAGCAGCAGAGAGCTGAACAGGACACCCCCGCCCCTCCCTCTCCCGGCAGGCAGAGACTCTGCCTGGGAGCACAGTTGCTCCCAGCCTGACACCGGCTGTTATCTCCTTGGGCTTCAGGTTATTTCCTCCCATAGCACTAAACTATCAGTGACTCAGGACCTGAGAGCATCTGTAAGAGCGTTGTGGTCCGTGCTTCCCTCCAGCCAGCCCTATCTCTGTGTGATAATTCAGCTCAATAAACCCAGAACAGGGTACAGGTGACTGGGGGATAAATACCCAGATCACAACTGGTCCCTTGTGTGGTACTGCTGCTGGTGAGGGCTTGTGGGGTCGCTGGGGTTTGAGGGTACTGAATGTAGCTATTGGGCTGAGCCAGGCCTGCTTTACAGTGTTTAATGCATACCTGAGCTCAGTGCTCTGCCGAAAGGCAGTGCCGAGCTCTCAGGAATCCATTTGTGGCTGTGACAAGCTGCTATTGGGAAGCTGTGACGGTGCAGAGCAGGGACACGCATGCCTGTTTTCTGACGCTGGTGTGAGAGCTCTATGGAGTCTGTTTGCACCTCCCCAGGGCTGCTGTGGATCACCAGTGGGGTGGGGGGGGCTTGGTGTGTCCTGGGTGATGTGCACACCATGGTTATTCACCTGCTGTAATGCTGGGGCTGCAGACAGTGTCTGATATCGTGGGCTGGCCAAGTCCATCACTCCAGCTGCTGGCACCAATGCAGCACTCGCATTTGGATGCTTTTCTTTGCCTCAGCTTGGCCTAGAAACAATATCTCAGAGAAAAATCAAAGCTCGTGGGTTTTTCTCTGGGACTGGAGCAGCTGCGACGCCTGCCATGACGATGGGAGTGGGAGCCCCGTGCACGCCGCAGGCTGTGTGTATGCGCTGCGGTGCACGCTGTACCTGTAGCAGCTCACAGAGCTTTCATCTGTCATGGGGGGATAATATATGGGTTAGCATCCTTCTCCTGCAGCCATAAATGATGGGGAAGGAGAGCAGCTGCATGCTTCTCTATCCCCATGCAGCACAAGGAGGGGAAGCAGTGTGCCATGGGGCATCTTGCATGGAGAGAGGGAATGGCTCAGCATGCTCTTGCAAGCACCCCAGGGGCACAGAGTACCTCTGTGCCAGACAACTATGTTGGCTGGAGCGCAGGGTAAGGGGTCGGGAGTGTGCCCTGTGCTTCCATGCGCAGCAAGGGGTGCCTTCCTCCGAAATTTTCCCCCTTTGCTCCTGTTGCCACCAGTGAAACGTGTACCGAGGAGCTGAAGCTGTAGCAGCGTGTGGATCAGCTTAGGGGAGAGGTCTGGTGGTGAGCCGCTGATGTGCCAGGCCTTCTCGCTCTGGTGCCACTCCGAAATGCCCTGCCAATGACCGGGTAGCCCCTGCCGGGGCTGCCTGCTCTGTGTGCCCCGGTTCCTGCCGGCGTGGCTGGGCCGGCTCCAGGTTCGGCGCGGCTGAGGCGCCGGCAGGGGTCCTGCGGTGCGCGGAGGGGGCGGCTCTCCTCTGCATGCTCTATAAAAAGAGCGGCGGCAGCACAGCCCTATCTATAGCAAAGCGAGGGAGCTGCCTGGAGAGGCAGCGCAGGGATTAGACCCAAATCTGACGGTTTTCTCCTGTCCCGCTTGGGAATGCCGGGCCGGCGGTGGCGGCTGAGGGATTCCCACTACGCCCCGAGCTGTGAGATCCTCCCTGCCAGCCGGCATGTCCTGGCTTTGCAGGGTTTTCCTGACTGTCTGCACCCTCCCCGAGGGGGCTTATTGTCACACTTGTCACCCAAAGGCTAGGGACGCCCCAGATCCCCCTTCTTTCCTGCTGTTTGGGGCTGGGATTTCACAACAGCACAAGATGGCTGATGAGGATAGCCCTGGTGGGACCCCAGGACATCTGGGTTTGGGGTGGATGCTCAGCATCCTCCTGTAACTGGTCCTATTGTGGCAGTCTCAGGGCAGCTGAGACCTTCCCTAGGGAAGCTGGTTGTGAAATTTGTGGTCCATGGTATTTGTACTGGAGAGCTCAGCTGACTGATGGAGTTTTGCCCTGTTTTGTTTGGGGGGGGACACAGGGAATGGCTACATGTCCTGAGCAGCTGAACTCTGTGTTTGTGGGTGCACAGCATCACCCTGGGGTCTCACCAGCGCACAAGTTTGGCTGGACATTGCCATGCTGTGGATGCAGAGCAGCCCGCAGGGTTGGGCTCTGCTTTTGGCCGGTGCCTGTCACCCTCTGGGCATGCTGGCCATCCCCTGAGACCGTCAGCGACACCCGTGAGAGCATCTCCCGGCCCTCCCGGGGGTGGAGGTACCAGGGAGTGTGTCTCTTTAATGAGGCTGGGCTTGGAGCAGCTCTGCTGCTGGCACAGGGAGCGAGGGATGGAGCGAGGGCGGTGAAGGAGCCAGTGCCAGAGAGGGAGCCTGCAGCAGGGAGAGGCGGGGAAGGACCGCTCATCCCCCCTGGGTATCGCAGACCCCAGACCGAGGGGCAGAGAAACCCACGGCAGGGCAGAGAGCTTTGCGGAGGGCACGACCCAGGGGGTGCTGAGCCGAGCCTGGAGCCCCTGTGTCATCCTCCTCCTCCTCCTCCAGGTAAGGGCCGGGGCGGGAGGGAGTCAGGGGCCGCGGTGAGCCAGGACCCTGCGGGTGTCCTGCAATTCCTGCGTGCCCCAAGGTCGCACCCCCGCTGTCGGGGCAGCCGCGGATCGCAGGCGGGTGAGAGGTGGGAGATGAGGCAGCAGGGCCACAAAAGTGCTGAAATCACCACCCGGCACGGACCCAGCTGGGCTGGGTCTTATAACTGCTGGGAACGTGCCCCAGGGTATCAGGAGCTGGTCCCTGGCCCAAGCCACAAACATCCCACGGCTGGAGGAGCAGCGGGACCCCTCTTTTTGGCTGTCCTGCCGGGATGTGCCTCTGTCAGGGGAAATCCGTGGGGCTGGGACATTTGTTTTGGGGGTGCCTGTTTTAGGGTGCATCGGGGGCGAGTAACTCCTGCTCCCTGGCACGGGGCTGGGATTTCCGGGGGTTTTAGCGGCTCGGGGGTTGGGGGGGGGAGCGGCGAGAACAGCAGCACAGGTCCTGGACATGGTGGTCCTGCATGCAGTGTGTGTGCCAGGGTATGTGTGCATGCATGCACGTGTGCGCGTGGAGCAGACTCTACTCTCTGTTTCGACTTCCCAGCAGACGAAGCACCAGTGCCAGCCAGAGGACAGCACCCCCTTCACCCTGTCCCCTTCGTCTGCAGCTGCCAGGGAAATCCTTTTCCCCTCCACTCCTCCTCTTCTTTGGGCTCTCTGCAAAACACGGCCCACGGGCACTAGGCAGCAGCGCTGCCACCTCCTACTTCTGTAGCCTCCCCCCTGCTCCGGGAGTTGGGATGGATCCTGCTCTCTTCTCCTTGTGACCCATCCCAGCAGAGTGATGCAGGGATGTCCCACAGGGAGCGAGGGAAACAGAGGTAACTCAGAGCAGCAGGAGGGGCAGCAATGTCTCCTTGTTCCAGGAGCTACTGCAGACGTTTGGGTTCCTCTCCTTCTATCCTTCTTTTGTACCGGCCTGTGCATCTGCCACCAGTGGAAATTTCCATTGGGTTTGTCTGTGCAGGGGCTGGCCTCATCCTTCCCCAGGGTGAGGAGGGACAAGGCACCCACAGGCACGGGGTTCTGTGGGCGGCTGTTGCTGCAGCAGGTGAAAATCTGACAACTTCTCGGGCAGCTCAGGAGGGTTGGCTGGGCTGAGGCGCCTGGCTTGCTGCAGCAGCATCACTGCAAACCCCAGCCTGCCCACGGGTGAGAGAAGACATGTGAAGTTATTCTGACCTACTGAAGAGTTAGCTCCTCCTGGCATTCACTTTTGCTGCTGCTGGCATGGCAAGCTGCCCCCAGCTCCACTCCTGCTGAATCCCCCTCTGTATCAGGGATGCTGCTGGTTAAACCAGCTCCTGTAGGCAGCAGGTGGGAAGGGAGGAAGAGGAGGGAGCTGCAAAAGCACTGGCAACCATGCTGGGGACAGGGAGGGGGTTGGGGATGTGTTGGTGATGCCATGCTGGCAGCTGGGGACAATTTGATGCCCTGGAGGAAGAGGACGAAGAGGCCGGGATGAGGACCATCAGGTCTGGTTTTATTCATTACCACAGGGCTTAAAGCAGGCAGCACAAGGCATAGCAGGGACAGATGGGGCCTGTTTACTCTGTGAGTATTAATGTAAAGTGAAGTGATAAAAAGCAGCCAGAACGGCTTCTCCAGTAAGTCCCTGGTAAACAAGCTGGCAGTGCCCCGGCCAACGGGCAGCATGGCAAATAGTAGGCATGTTGCTGAGCATTAAGCTGGTGCCTTGGGAACAAATGGAAGGACTTTGGGGTGAAATCCATCTTTAATGGCTCAATGTGGCTGAGATGGGGGAGCCACGGTCCCCAGGGCCTAGCTGGGTGCTGTGGTCAGACCAGAACCCGACTGATGATGTTCCCAGCAGTGGCACAGCTGGTGTGGGGAAAAAACAGTCTGTGTAGGGACCCTGTGCTGCTTTGTGTGGTGGGAGAGCAGACTGGGGGGCTCAGCATCCTGCACACAGAGTAGAGGATTGATGATAGTACAGAGTGGTTGGGTGGGCAGGACCTGCAAGCCTAACTCTGCGATGCCAACTGAGCACGTAAACAGCTCCCCTCCAGCATAATGGACTTACTTTCCTGGGATGCAGCCATGTTGCTAATGTACTTCCATGCTTCTCAGGGACTCACTGCCTCACACCAGCCAAGGGCTCCATCCTGATGCTGCCTCCAGGGATGTAGCCCTGCTCCGCTTTCAAGGATGCTCTGGGAGGTGCATCCTGTGACCGTGGGCAGAGACTGCCCTGAGCCTCCTGTTTCCAGTGCTAGTACAAGCTGTTCCCAGGATGAAGGCCACCAGAGCGGGGGTACCAGATGGTTCACTTGTACCTGGCCTTGTCCTTGCTCCAGCCATGCTGCGCATTGGAGCACCAGCACATGGCATGATGGTGGGACCTTGCTGCTGTTGGGTTGCAGGCACTTGGGGTGGGCAGGGGATGCAGCATGGAAGTGCAGACCCATGCCTAGAGCAGGATCCACACACACGGTCCATGGATAGGCAGGGCTCAGGCTGACCCAAACACTGTATGTGAATATTTGATGGCACGGGCTGGGGGAATGTTGGAGATGCCTTGGCTCTAGGCAGTCATTTGGGATGCTGCTTCCAGGTGGTTTTCCCAAAGGGAAGAGAGGTGTGGAGTGGGTTGGTGCCCTGGCTGGTAGGCATCCCCCGCCACCTTTCTTCTGACAGCCAGTGCCGAAGGGTGGGATGCTGGATGCATCCATCTCTGGGTAAAGCATTACTCGCACGGATGCAGACAGCATCATCCCCTGAGCCAAGCTCCCCCCTGCAGTGCTTTCCCCTCTGTGCTGCTCTTCTGTGCAGCGCTGACCTTGTTGTTAATTATTAAACCCGAACAAACACTGCTCACGGCTTTGTCCCAGATACACCGTGGGCTCCTCGCCCTTCGGTTTTTGTTGTGTTTTTTTTTAACCAATTACCCTGGTAACCTCTGTGGGTGGATGGAGATGGGAGCAGCAGATGCTCCTCTCCCAGCCAGTGCAGGAGATGGCCTGGGGAAGCTCTGGAGCCACTGAGCTGCTGTGGGGTGTCTGAGAGATGGGCTGCCTGTGGCTGTCCATTATCTATCCTGTCTAGGAGTCCCTGCTTGTTTGCTGGGGCTTGGGGCTTGGGGCTTGCATGTAACTGCTGCTACCCATGGGAGAGGACATTTCACTGCCCAGGTTTATTTACCTGTCAATGCAAGAGCTTTCTGCGGGCTCCTGTGGCTCCAGACCTGGTTTGTAGGTGGGCCGGGGTCCAAGCAGAGACCTGGGTCCAGGCCCATATGTTTTGTGGATGCTGCAGAGCAATGCCTCTGGAATGGGGAGGGCTGGGGACCTGCTCCCCTCCTTGTGGGCTGGGCACATGGAAGCAACTTGCATGCAGAAGCCTTTTTGTGCAGACCCTGTTCCTGAATACCCAGCGCCTGCCTCCCCTCTGCCTGCAGCTGCCCGCTGAGCGACAATGCCAGGCCTGTACGTCCTGTCCTCCTGGGAGCCTCTGCCCCTGAAGAGCTCCAAGGTGAAGGCTTGTGCCAATGGGTACTCCCTGAGCATCACTGCTCACCTCACATACACCAACCCCCACGAGGAGCCCGTGCAAGGTAAGGGGGAGCTATGGGGGCTGGCAGGGACCTGGGCTGCCTGCACAGCCCCCTAAAATCACCCTTGCTGGAGAGCATCCCAGCCCCACACCTTGCTCAGTTTGGAGAGTAAAGGCAGTGCCGTGGTGGCACCAACACACAGCATCGCCCTGTGGGCAGGAAAAGAGTGAGGCTGAGCAAACCCGTTCCTGTTGCTGAGGAAGAGGGGGATTTCATCCTCCCTGCCCTCCCAGCTAGTGAGGCTCTGTGTCCTCCCTGTGTGTTGCCCATGCACCGAAATCACCCTGCCAGTCAGAGTGGTGCTGCCATGGGCTCTACTGTGCCACAGCAGGGTCCATACCCAGACCTGCCTCGGGGCTCTCTCCTACCCACAGGTATTTTCATCTACCCACTGGAGCAGTCAGAGGTGGTGGCCAGCTTTGAGGCGGCAGCGGGCAGCCGGCGGGTGACATTCCAGGTCCAGAACCGGCACCGGGTGCAGGACTGCTGCCTCCAGTGCATCCCAAACCCCAGCCAGCCGCGGCACTGTGCCGGCGGTAAGTGCTGCTGCACAGGTGGTCCTGCCGGGCCCTCCTGGCTGGGAGGCTCAAAGGAGCAGGGATGAAGTGTGGGGGGATATGAGGGGCCGACAGTCCCTGCCAGGCCACCCTGGTGCCTTGGAGGGGGTCTTTGGGGTGGAGATTTCAGCCTTTCCGCTCCCTCCACCTCTCCTGGGGTTTTACCTGTCCCTTCGCATGGCCCTTCTTACGCCTGCACCCTTGTCCCCTTTGAGAGTAGTTACTTCAGTTAATGTCCCCCCATTTCACACACCACTTACCCCAAACCATCCCTCCTCTGCCCAGGCCACCTTGTCCTGGATGAAGATGTGGAGCGCTCCACCTTCATCATCGTCACAGGCACGCTGTGCGCATCGGAGAGCCTGTCCATCACCCTGAGCACAGCGCAGGAGCTGGCCACGCTGCCGGATGGGGCCCTGCGCCTCCTCCTGCCACCCGTCCTCACACCCCGTGTCCCTGCTGACCCCGAGAGCGAGCCGGCAAGCTTGTGTGACGACAGGTTGGCCCTATGGTGATTTTCATGGCTTCCTCAGTCTCCGCCACCCTGGGGGGGGGGATGCCGATGCTGAGTGAGTAGGGAGGGGAGCGGGAGCCATCACCACCTCTCCCCTCACAGCCCCACCAGCTGTTTTGGGGGGCCGGGTGCCCGGAGCCAGCCCCCCGCCATGGTGCCTGTGGAGAGTGTGGATGTCTTTCGAGGCCGGACCTGCAACCCTTTTCCTTATGAGTTTGCCTTCGAGCTGCTGGTGAAGGGCCCCTGTTTGCTGGCAGGTAGGGGGGTAGCTCAGGTGGTGGCAGTTGGTTGGGCAAAGCCTCTCCAAAACATGGACACTGTCCTGCTGGTCCCTCCATGCTTCTAAGAGAATGTGAGCCCCCTTCCCGCAGCATCATCAGCATCATCTTGTATTCCCTACATGCAAAGAAGCCCTTTTCCCATCCCACCCATGGGGCTGGAACCCTCCAGAGTCACCCCACAGATGGCTTTGGGCAGCTCTGGGTCAGCAGCCTCCTTCCCTGGGAGATTTGATGGATGGGGGAGAGGATGAGCAAGGAGGGGATGTGGGTCAGTGGGGACACAATCCTGGCTGCTGGCCCAATTAATCCCATTAGAGCTGGCAGTGAGCAGCCACCGCCACAGTGTCTGGCCCAGCACAGGCACAGAGCCCAGGGGGCGGGGGGCCAAGGGGCTGCCCTGCTGCCACCTCCTCCCTGCAGGGCTGGAGAGCCCGTCCCATGCCCTGCGAGCCGATGCCGACCCCTGGGCCAGCTCTGCCGCCACCACCTGCGTCACCCTGGCTGAGCCCCACCGCTATGACAGGGACGTGGAGATCATCCTCTACCCCTGCGGTGAGGGGGGACGGTGCCCTCAGCGGGTTTGGGGGAGATGGGGCACTGCCCTGAAAGCATCTGGAGCATCCCCTAGCCCCCTGCAGCACAGGGTGGCGCTGAACCCCCTTGTGCCCAACAGAGCCCCATCACCCCCACCTGGTGATGGAGGATGGCACCATGACATACCCTGAGTATGAGGCCCTCATCCGGAGCCGCCGGGATTACATGCGGATTGCCAGGAAGGACAGCAGCGGCGAGAGAGAGGTGACATGGCATGGTGGAGAGGAGGAGGAGAGCAGGAAACGGTGGGGTGTGGGTGAGGAAGACCTTGGTATAGGCCAGGGGGTATGAGAAAGCCCCTGTCCTGCCTGGCTTGCAGGTGGCTTTTGTGCAGAAGCGTTTCCACAAAGACATCTTCCCCAACCCTGTGCTGATGCTGAACTTCTGCCCAGCGGCGGAGGGTGTCCCTGGGAACCTGCAGAGCATCACCCGCGAGGTCCTCTTCCTCATCGACTGCAGCAGCACCATGAGCAGCCCTGACCTTGACAAGGTCAAGGTGAGGCACAGCCATGGGGTCAGGGATGCTCCCTGGGTGGCCAGTTCTCAGCAGCCACCCCTGGTCCTCACTGTCACCTCAGGAGGCTTTGCTGGTGGCCCTGAAGAGCCTCCCATCGGGGACACTGCTCAACGTGGCCAGCTTTGGTGCCGATGTGAAGCCACTCTTCCTGTCCAGCCGCCTCTGCAGCAACGTGAGTGCTGCCGGGCAAACCCGCACCAGCCTGGCTGTGGCTCCCTGCTCCCTGGTGTGGGTCACGGCTGGTGAGCCAGGGACCGCTGTGAGCCTGGCTCTCCCTGCGGGCAGGAGACGCTGCAGCGCACCTGTGAGCACCTCAGCCGGCTGCGGGCAGACGCGGGCAGCACCAACCTGCTGGCAGCCCTGCGCTGGGCGCTGGCACAGCCCCTCCACCATGGCTACCCCCGTCAGCTCTTCCTCTTCACCGACACGGCAGCAGGCAACACAGGCAGGATCCTCCGGCTGGTGCGCAGGCAGGCCAGCACCGTCAGGTATCTCACTGGCACCATGACACTCCTCTCCATGTCCCCTGGGCTGTTCCCAATGATTTCTCATCCTGCAGCCCCAAATCTCACCTCCACCAGCCCTTCACCCATCACATCTCCCAACAGCACAGGCTCAGCTTCCCCCAGGATTGCACTAACCTGGCACGCAGCTGGGGTGGCATCTCTGGCTATCAAACACCCGTACCCATCCATGCTGCAGGGCTCGCCACTGGGCTGCCCAACCCCAGCACCAGCCCAGTCATGGCTTCCCATCACCTGGCTCTCTCCCACAGATGCTTCAGCTTCGGCATGGGCCCAAGGGTGTGCCGGCGGCTGCTGAAGGGCATGGCCAAGGTGAGCCGGGGCCGCGCTGAGTTTCTGAGCCCGGCCGAGAGGTTGCAGCCCAAGGTAATGCTCAGGCAGGGATGGAGGTTGTGAGGGTCATGGGGGACGCTGTGGTGCCTGACACTGACTCCTCTCCCTGCCCCAGCTGATCAAGTCCCTGAAGAAGGCAATTGAGCCGGCTGTCAGCGACATCACCATCGACTGGTACGTCCCCGACAGCATGGAGGCTCTGCTCTCGCCCACGGAGTTCCCAGCCCTCTACCCTGGCGACCGCCTCGTCAGCTACTGTGTCCTCTACAGCATCGCCCGCTTCCGCAGCAGGCGCTCGCAGGTATGATCGGCACTGCCCTGGCACGGGGAGGATGGTACGTTCCCGGGGCCGCCGGCTTCTCTCTGTGCCGGGGGGTGACAGCGGTGCCCTCTCTCTGCCAGGGCCGGGAAGGGCCTTGCCGGGGCTCAGCCTTTCCCTCCCAGGAGGATGTGCCCAGCCCCAGGGAGAGCTGCCAGCTGTCCCGGCGCACTCTGGGATCTGGGGACATCTCCCTGGATCTCCTTGCTGGGAGTATGGAGGCGTCGGACCGGAGTGAGTGGGGCTGAGGCCGGGGCAGGGGTCAGGCATGGGGGCTGTGGGCTGACAGGGTGTGCGTTTGCCGGGCAGGTGTGGATCCTGCGTCAGGGGGAGATATCTGGAAGCGGATTTACCAGCCGTCCTACATCCAGGAGCAGTATGTCCTGACGCACTGCTCCGTCAGCACCGACCGCAGTCGGGGGCTCCTCTCCCACAGCTCCACCAGCAGTGAGTCCACCGGCTCCCGGGATGTGGCCCCTGAGGTCCCGGGCACTGATGCCACCTCCCAGCAGGGCCAGAAGAGCCTGTCCATCTGTGAGTCCTCCACCAAATCTGCCCCACTGCCCTCTGCCCCGGCTGGCACCAAGGTAAGAATGACAACAGGGTTCAACGGCTCATGCACTGGGGGTTGCTGCCAGCTTACCCAGGGTCTCACTGCCCGGCCGTGGCCGGACATGTGGCTGCCAGGCTGGAAACCAGAGTGCTGCAGCCTGGGTTTTAAGCAAGGGTCAGCCATGAGAGCCACAAAAAGGCTCCTCAGGTGGTTCTGCCCTACTGGAATGGGACAGCTGGGGACCAAAGAGGTGGTCCCTCAGCTTCCCCAGCCAGTAGTCAGCTGGGTGACTATCAGACCCCCTGAACAGCTCAGTTCCTCAGCGATGCTGCAGAAATCAAGTGAAAATAGCTGGGCCAGCACCAGGTAACAAGCCTGCCAAGCTGGAGAGGAGGGGTGGGCTGGCTAAGCTCCTGTCTGGCTCCTTCAGCTCTCTGCCAACACCACCTGATGCTTCGTTAGTGACTGGTCACATCCCTGCTGCTTCATACTTGGGTTTAAAAAACAGCCAGGTCGCTGTGGTGGGGAGACATAGTTCCCTGGGTGATGCTGGCCCCGAGGCCAGGTGAGGCCAGCTGTCACCCAGCTCCAGGACACGCTCCTTCCTGGTGACACGGGTCTCCTGCTGCACAACAGCACAGCTGGTCACCTTTGCTGCTGAAATGTCAAGCGTAAATGATTTCCTTGCAGCATAAATGATCCTCTCCCAGCTCCCTGCTGATGGGGTGAGAGGCGGCATGGGTGCTGCTGCCCTGCCATAGCTTTTAGGTGAAGCACCTCACTGCGGGGACATCACTGCGCTGGGGACTGCATCCCCCTGTAGCGTCATCCAGCTTGAGCAACAGTGCCAAGACGCCCCACACACAGACACAGAAAAATCCCTGCCAAGTCTTCCTGCCTGGGCGTCAGCTTGAGTCAGCCCCAGGGATGTTTGCAAACTCCTGTCTGGGTGCCATCGGGCCTTCCCACATGTATGAGGAGCTTGACGAGCATCACCCACCGCCCTGGGAGGCTGCCGGGTGCCATCCTGCGGAGCAGTGGGGCTGGGCGACAGCCAGCAGCTCCGGCCAGCAGCCGGCTTGGCGCAGTCTGGGCTCTGTGCCAGTGCCTTTGCCGGGCTGGCCGTCAGCCTTGCCCCCACCACAGGTGATGATGGCCCTGAGCATGGAGGAGCTGGCACGGCGGAAGAAGGCGCTGGCACGTGCTGCCCTGGCCAGCCGCAGCTTCTCCTCACCGCATGGGCAGCTGGACACGCACCGGCTCTACCAGGCCCTGGAGAAGGTGTCACAGAAAAGGAACCAGTCCCTGGAAGGGCAGCTGGATGAGCTGGGACCCCAGGGACGGCAGCTGCAGCCCAGTGCAGTGGAGTCAAGTGTGTGCTGGCTCTGGGGGAGAGTGGAGGGGATGGAGCCTGGTGGCCCTGCCTTGCTGAGCCCATGTCTTGCTGTTCACAGATAACCTCCTCTCACCCACCCACCTGGACTGGGACATGCTGGTGGAGCCCTCCTACCTCTTCAGTGCTTCACCGGTGCCCGAGCCAGGGGAGTCCAGCCTGGGCGATGCCAGCCTGCCCTTGCGCTGCCAGGTGGTGATCCATGCGCTGCGAGCTGGCAAGCCGGTGTCCTGGGAAGTGACGGCCTCGCTGGAGTCAGTGATGCAGGGGCCAAGCAGGGAGGACTGCCCGCAGCGGGTGGGCAAGGCCTGGGACAAGCCGCTGCACCGCTTGGCAGCACGCTCCGTCATTCGGGACAATGAGAACGCGGCGCAGCGGGAAGCAGAGCTGGAGCAGGGTGGGTGCCGGTGTGTGTGCCCCAGCTCCAGCACAGCCTGGCATCTCCCCACCTCTATCCGCTTTGTTCTGGGCAGGTTTTGCCCGCCGGTTCCGCCTGAAAGCTGTGCAAACCAGCAAAGCCTGCAATGTGCCTTCTCTCTACACTCGCCTGGTGCCCGTGGATGGTGCCACACAGGCAGCCCTGCCCGCAGCCCCCGAGGTGTGGGGCACAGGTACAGCCAGGGGGGCTAACATGCTGGGGAGGGGATGGCGATGGATCAGAGGGCTGAGGTGGCACCGTCCCTTGCAGCCGGTTCTATCAGGCAGTCACGAGCCACTGCAGCAGGGAGCTGGCACCACAGGAGCTCTTCAGCAGGTCTGGGGCAGCAGCGGGATGTGGAAGAGCTGGATGAGGCTCCTCTCACTGCAGGTACTTGTATCAGCTTATGCTCCCCAGGGAGCTGCCTGAGCACTGGAGCCCCTGTGGACATTTGGCTCATGGCTGAGTGGGGCATTGTCCTGGCTGGAACACTGTGGATGCCCAGGAAGAGGGGTCTGCCCCATGCTGGGGAGATATGGGGGGGAGCAGCATAGAAGCCCCTGGCAGCAGCTGTGGGCTGTGAAGGTCTTGTGAGCCTAGGGACCATCAAGGCTTCACTCTTTTTCAGAGCGAGGCGAGACACCTGCGTCTCCAGCCAGCATCTCCTCCCCTACCTATGGTGGGGAAAAGCAGAACTTCTTGAACGGTGAGTCCAGGGTGGAGGGGGCCAAGGGCTGGATGGTGGGGAACGGGGGTTCACCCTGGGTTCCAGGGAGCAGGATGCACCTCTGGGTGCACCATGACCTCTCATGCTCAGTTCTCCCCAATTGCAGGGCCTCCATCCAGCCCCTCCACCACCTCCATGGGCTCCCAGAAATCCACAGAGAGTATCAGTGGCTCTAGGTGAGGCTCTGGGTGGAGGGATGCAAGGGCCCAAACATTGCAGGGAGAGGGGGACGGTGCTGCTTGTCTGATGTCCCCTGCTAGGTCCAGCAGAATAAGAGGGGTTAATGCTCCAGCCCCTTCCCTGCAGCAGGCTGGAATTGTGTGTCCTCTCCGCCAACTCACCTGTATCCCTGCAGGTTTAGCCTGAGCAGGCGCAGGGGGCCCAGCCTGGCGCTGCGCCTGCAGGGCCTCAGCCCTGAGACCGAGCGCTCCAGCAACCATGACTACCTCCCGCTGGTAAGGACCCAATCCCCATCCCACCCTGCTGGGTTGCAGCTGCACCACTTAGGCAATGCCTGGCAGCACCAGCACACGGTACACTGGGCAGTGCCTGTGCCCCAAGGACGCCCCTACAGACCCACCAGTGGGTGCTGGGGGCTGCAGTGGGTCTGTGCCCCTGCCTGCACCCCCCACCCAGTCACCTGCCCCGCTATTGCAGGTCCAGCTGCAGCAAGCCAGGGGCCCATTCCAGCTCACCGAAAGCTTCTCTGATGTGGTGCAGATCCCACTGGATCGCCTGCGCCGGGCCTCCCCCTATGCCTCCCACCATGCCAGCCTCAGCCCTGTGTCCCCAGGGGCCAGGAGCAGCCTCCAGGCAAGGCCTGGCAGTGAAGAAGGCGAGGAGCCCGCCGCAGCCCTTCAGCCCAGCTCACCCCCATCCCAGAGCACTTGCTCTGAGGTGCCCAGTGCAGCTGTGTGGGCACAGGCAGACAGCGGGCATGGCTCAGAGTCTGACACCGGCCCCCACTCAGCTGCCCCCTCCGAGGCTGGCATCAACTGGCAGGACGTGGGGCCGGAGGACCTGGAGAGTGCCAGCTGGGCCACGGCAGTGGCCTTGGCATGGCTGGAGCATCGCTGCGCTGGCTTCTTTGAGGAGTGGGAGCTGGTGGCAGCCAAGGCAGATGCGTGGCTGCAGGCGCAGCGGCTGCCTGAGGGGGTGGACGTGGCCTGCCTCAAAGGGGCGGCCAGACACTTGTTCCTGCTGCTGCGTCACTGGGATGAGAACATCAAGCTGAACATGCTGTGCTACAACCCCAACAACGTCTGACAGCTGCCAGAGGGGCCAATAAAGGTGACCGGCTTCACGCTGCATGCACAAGTGTCTCTGTTACGGGCAGGGAGGCGTCAGCCCTGTTCAGGTCACACTGGGGCTCACCACAGCCCTGGGTAAGAGGTCACCCCCTTCCCAGCCATCTCCTATGGAAGGAAGCATGCAGGAGACTAGGAAAAGCTGTACTGGAGGGATCAAGTATAGCTTTGGGCTGCATCAAGGTGAATCAAACCTTGAGGCAAAACAGTTCTGCAGATCCTCTTGCAACCTTACCCCAGAGGCTGCTCCCTTGCCCTGGGCAGCACTCTCCCAGGGTTGGGAAGAGATCTCCCACAGGCTCAGCAGCTGCTCTGCCTTCCCACAGGTGGGGCAGACCAAGGCATGGCCATCCAGACACCATCATGGCACAAAGATGCTGCAGCCAGAGAAGGGCACACAAAGCCCCCTTTATTGGGGAAGTCCTGCCTGTCAGGGGTCCCCACGCTGCCCCCTTTGCACAGTTCCAGGGCTCGCAGTCCCTCCTGGGATGGCTGGAGGCAGCCTGGGAGCCAGGTGGGGAAAGAGCAGGCAGAAGAGGCAGTCCCAGAGGCCATTTCCCATCCTCCGGCTGGCTCTGCTCTCACTGGACCTTCTTGGAGATGGCTGTGGGCCTCCTGCTTGGTGGGGGTGTGTGTGTCACCGGCGAGGGGGCTGTGCCGTACCACAGCTGGAGTAGGACGAGTACGTGGCAGATGTGGAGGGAGAGGGAGCTGCAGACTGTGGAGGGATAGGTGTTCCAGCAGAGCTCGATGACACCCAGCAGCAGCACCCTGCAGGGGGGGAAACTGTGGGTCATCATCAGGGGGACACAGCAGCCTGCTTGCTCCCAGACCCCACCAGCAGGTGAGTAGTCCCCCTTCTGGGCAGCACGTACTTGGGCATGTGGGCAAGCTTGGCAGTAGGGGTGCACCACAGTAAGTAGGGCAGTGTGTGGAAATACCAGACGTAGAACTGGTAGTGCAAGGAGCGGCTGCAGCAAACACCCAGAAAGTTGGAGGAGAAGAGGACGAAGACGATCTGTGCACTGGCGTTAAGGGGACAAAGGCAGGGGGCTGGAGGTGCAATGCAGCAACAGCTCCCAGCTGTACAGCACAGCTCCTCCCCCCAGGACAGGACGGTCCTAACAGCCCCAGGACCTGTTCACCTTGTCTTCCCCCCCCTTTCTTGCTGCCCACCCTGCTAAAGGATATTGTTGACAGTCAAGGGAGGGGATGTGTGTTTCCGTTCGGCAGGGTCCTTCAGGAGAGCCAGGATGCTCTCTTTGGACCTGAGGGGAAAGCATAAACATTGATGTCAACAGCTGCTGAAATCCCTTCCCACCCGAACCTTCCCCTGTAAGCCACGCTGCCTGAGCAGTGCGCTCCCCAAAACACAACAGTAACTTGCCCCTACTCCTGCCTGCAACTCCAGAACTGCAGCAATGTACGGGCAGGGAAGTCATGGACCCATATCCTGCACCATGCGGGCTGACTGAAATGGGGTTCCATGGGGGAACCAGCACCCATGGGGAATACCGAGTCTCACCTGTGCCACCGGTGCAGTGCAAAGAGCCCCAGGCCAGCCAGGTGAACCACGAGTAGCATGGCATGGAAAGCCCGATTCTGGAAAACCTCTTCTGGGAGGAAGCGCCAGTTTACTGTCCATTTGAACTGGAACTGACGGCCCAGGTCAAAGGAGCGAGTCAGGTACCCCACAGGGTTCACCACCAGGAAGGGCAGCCCCAGAACCACCTGACAGAGATACACCAGCAACCTCGCAGCAGCTGCAAGCCAGGTCTCCATCACCCTTTCCACCTCCCGAGAACCCCAGCAACAGGGACAGCCAGCCAAAGATGGAAGCCCCATGATTTAAATTAGTTGTGAAGCTCCAGCTTGCTGCATGGGGCAGACTCAGATGCTGGTGCCACTGTGCATCCACCCAGAGGCCTCCAGCCCCCAGGACACGCAGACAGGATGTTGTGACGCAGGCAGGAGAGCCCTCTACCCCTTGCTGATGGGGCTGCCAGCCTGCCCCTGCAGTGATGTCTCGAGCAGGGACCCACCTGGAGTAGGGCACAGATGCAGAGCTTGGGGATACAGCCCCAGAGACCAAACTGTTGGAGGAGGAGGAAGAGAAGTCCTGGTGCGAAAAGCAGGATGTTCATCTTCACGGACACAGCCAGGCTGAGTGGGAAGCTGCATTACTGCTGTGGTCCCCACCATGGGTGCCCAGGAAGTCCCTGGACCAAGTGCATCCTCCTCCTTGGTGCTGAGCTTGTTCACACACACAGCACGCCACGGAGGGCAGCCACCACATGAGCCCAGACCCTCACCTGAAGAAGAAGCATCCCCAGGACCAGCGCTCCTCCAGGAAAAGGTTGATGGCGAGGAAGAGGATGGCCACGGCCACAGGGTCGTTAAAGAGCCGCAGGACAAAGATGGAGTGGATACGGTAGGAAGCGCAGCACATGAAGAAGAAAACATATGGGGGGACCTTGCAGGGGACAGAGAGTTACGAGGGCAATCAGCAGCCTGTCCCAGAACCCTGGCTGCTGCCAAGCCTCTCCACACCTCCAAAGCCAGCCCTGACTTTCTGCCCTGTGTGAGGGCTCATCAGAGCAGGACAGGCCCCCCCAGCTCCAGGCTACCTTGTTGGTGCGGCAGTAGATACGGAAGACGAGGAGGAGATTGAGGAGGTAGAGGCCGGCGAAGAGGTACTGTGCCAGGCGGATGTCAGTGCCACGGCCCGTGGCATAGTACAGGCCCAGAAAGATGTAGACGAAGCCGGCGGGGTAGCTGTGGAGAGATGGGAGTGAGGGGCCAGGCCCTGCTGCCCCCCTGGGACCCCGGTGTGGGGAGCTCGGCCACCCCCGTCACTTACACCAGCGGCCCGGTGTCGCCCTTCAGTCGGGTGTAGTCGAGGGTCCCGTTGGCAAACCCCTCCACCTCCTCCATGTAGGCCTTCCAGTCGATCTCGGTGTCTGCGGGCACGGCGGGGCTCAGGCGAGGAGAGGGGCGCTGGGCACACGGCGGGGAGGCTCCCCCCGCCAGGCTCCCGACCCTGCCCCGCTGCTCTTTCCCAGCCGAAGCTCCGTATGTCCCCCCGTGCGTCCCCGGCCCCGCCGCCGCCCTGCCCGGACGCTGCTGTCACGCTGACATCCCGCGGTGCCCAGGGCCCGCTCCGACACCGCCCCCCCCCCCCCCGCGGGGCCCGGCCTGGCTTCGGCACTCACAGGGGACCCTGCGGATGACCCATAGGTTGACACCGCCCTCCGCCAAGCAGAGGCAGGCGGCCACCAGCGGAGTGTAGCTGGGCTCCAGCAGTGCCGTTCGCCGCTGCCGCCAGGCCCGCCGCAGCACCGCCGCCCCCCGCCCCGCCGCCATGGCCGATGCCGCTCCGTTCCGCTCCGTTCCGCGTTTCCGGCCGGAGCTCTTAGGGCGGTGCAATCGCCGAGGCCGGAAGGCGCACGTGGGGCGCTCCGCCGCCCGGCATGGAGCGGCGGCACGCGCCCGCCGCCAACCGCCGGTACCGGCAGCGCCGCTTCTGGGACGAGCTGTACCGGCAGGAGGGCGCCGAGCCCCGCGAGTGGCTGGGGGCGCTGTCCCGTTTCCTCCCGCACCTGCGGCCTGAGCTGCGCCCCACTGACCGCATCCTCGTGCTCGGTACGTGCCCGGTACGTGCCCTGTGCCCGGTGCCCGGTGCCGGCCGGGCGGGAAGAGCTCAGGGTTCTGCCGCCGCATGCGCTGGCGCCGACCGCGAGGGGGCGTTGCGGCGCCGGGCCGGTACTGGGGGAGCGCCCGGCGCTGCGGGGCCCGGTACGACCAGCCCGTAATCCCACCTTCGGGATGATCCAGGGTTGATCCGCCGCCCGCCCGGCAGGTTCAGCCGCCCCAGGCGGGCGGGATTAGGCGGTGTCATCACCGATCCTGTTAGCGGATCAGCCGCAGCCAGCTGCGATTAATGGCCCCAAATCTCCCCTCCCCCCCACCCCGGGATCCCTCTCGGAGCCGCTGAGCCGCGGCGGAGCGGCTCCTCCGACGAGGCGAAGGGAGGGCAGAGGGACTCTCCCCGTGTCTGTCACACTGGGGACCCGTGTCCTGCTATAGCCGGGCTGGTACCAGCTGAGTGGGATGCTGTTTCCCTGGGACAGCCGTTCCTCCGTCCTTCTGTCTGTCCATCCCAGTTAAGTCCCCCCATATGTGGCACGCTGCCCTAATTTGCCCCTGATGCCAGCCCCACAGCAGGCTCGGGGGAGGGCACAGTCATCTCCTGCCCCACGGCACTGAGGGAAGCACTTGGGAGCCCAGTGCACCCACCTTGCAAGAAGAGGGTAGTTAGGAACTAGCCTAGCACTTGCTAATTAATGGCAAGGTGATGACCTGCTCCTTCTCTAGCTGCCCTAGCCCACCCGCACCCTTCTCTGGGTCTAAGGGCATGGGGTTGGGGTGCTGGCAGCCCCTCCATGGGCACCCCACACCCTGGCTGAGCAGTGCCCCACGCAGGCTGCGGCAACAGTGCCCTGAGCCATGACCTGTACGAGCTGGGCTACACCGACGTCACCAGCATCGACTACTCGCCTGCCTGCATCGCAGCCATGCGCGCCCGCTACGCCTCCTGCCCTGGCCTGCACTGGGCTGTCATGGACATCCGTGCCCTTGCCTTCCCTGACGCCACCTTCGACGTGGTGCTGGAGAAGGGCACCCTCGACGTGCTTATGGTGGAGGAGACCGACCCATGGAATGTCTCACCTCAGGCGACCGCCACAATGCACCGGGTCCTGGCAGAGGTACAAGGTGGAGGGAGCTGAGGGAGGGGACAAAGGGTGGACCTATTCCCATTTTGGGTGGGTGAAGGTACAGAATATGTCAACACCCTGCTTCCCTGTGGATGCTCCAGGCAGTGCCTTGCCCCCCCCCCCCAGCTGGTGCTGTCCCCTCTGCTGCCCTGTAATGGGGCACCTGGGGGGCTTCCAGCACCCTTTGGGGTGGTAAAGCCCCACACACACACACCTTCTCCCCTGGGAGGTGGATAGAGCCAAGTGTGTCCCTGGGGACCCTGGGTCCTGCTGGGTTGGGGGGGGACCTGGGTGACCCCTTTGTTTATTTGCACCCTGAACATGAAGGGGTGGCAGAAAAAACAGACTCCATCCTGGCATGGGTGGGTATAGGGGCACCCAAGGGTGCCTGGAGGGGACGTGGGGGACACACCGATGTGGCCATGCCCGCCCAGGGTGAGGTGAGGACTGCAGGGCTGTGACAGGCACTCACCCCTCCGCAACCCAGCTTCCATCTCGTTAGTGGGGTCCTCAGCACTCATCTGGTCCGGGGTTGCCATGGCAACCCCCGTCAGCATCGACATGGCCTTGGCGTTGCCACGGGGATGGGTGATGCCTCTGGGCCCTGATTAATTGGCGGTGTGGGAGGCAGGGAGGGGATTGAACCTACCCTGGTGCAGGGTGCGGGCCATGGCAGCCTGCATTGCCCTGCGGGGATAACTGTGGGGAGGAACGACCACTGCGCCCCATGGCACCCCTGGCAGCAGCAAGAGGTGCTGGGGTGCTTGGGGCTATTTGCCCCCCATCCTCTCTTGCTCCTCTGAGCCCAGGTGGGAGCAGAGCCCCAGTCCTGTGGGCAGTGGGGCTGTCCTCACCACCCATGCCTGGCCTGCCCACAGTGCTGCCTGTCCTTGTCACTTGGCCAAATGGCAAGGATTTAGTTCTGTTTTTTTTCCCCGTTTCTCTCTTTAATCCCCTGCTCAATCCCTGTGCTCCCCCAGCATCACTGGGCACTGGCCTCCACCCGCAGCTGGTCCCTGCTGTCCCTGTTCCCAGGGGGATTCACTGGCTGTCCCCACCTGCTCACCACTTTGCCAGGCCCTGTGCAGGGGTCCAGCAGTGGCTGGCACCCCCATTTTCACTCCCATCCCTCTTCTCATGGCAGGGGGTTCATAGCCTCTGTCTTGCTGTCCCTGGGAAGGGTGGGGAGGGGCAGGGTCCCAAAATGCACAGGATACATGGGTGATACGGATGCAAAAATCCACCCTGCCTGGCGGGGTGCCTCAGGGACACCCCTGTCCCAGCCATCAGGGAGCTGTGGGGGGATGTCAGAGGGGGAAGCAGCCCCCCTGCGCTGGCTGTTGGGTGGCAAGGTTTCCTGCACCCATCTCTAAGCAACGGCCATTAGTGCTCTATTAATGAGGATGGGATGCAAGATGCCTTGCTCAGCTCCAGCTGGAGATCCCTGCCTGCCCCCAGCCCTAGGGACCCCCATGCATCCGGGGCTTTGCAGGAGGGATGCTGAGCTGGGTTCTGGGGGTGGGAGTGCAGGGACATGCTTTCCTTTTCCTGACCAAAACCAGTAAGGTTTGGTTTGAAAGCCACTGCCGCAGCAAGTGGGGGAGGGACACACACAGAGGCTGGCTGTCCCCTGTGTCCGTTCCTGGCCCCAGCCACCACTGAGCTGTGGAGCTTCCCAGCAGGATTAAACCAGAGCTCGGGAACCCCGCTTGGCCCCCAGCCCTCTCCCTTGCTGCAGTGGCTCTTTGCCCTTGTGGGGGGGAACCTGGGGCTGTCCCTGCCTGGGGGAGAATGCCGGGGGGGTGGTGGGGAGGGGGGTGGACGTGGGGCTGGCCACCGGCCTGCCCCAGGCACTGCTTTTGCATGCCGAGCACGCGAGCGCTGGCCGTAAAAGCCTTTTGACATTGGATAAAGCCAAGCAAGAAAATTGATGTTCTTTTCCATCCTGTTAGCAGGGGCTTAATTCCAGCAGGGAGAAAATGGTGATTAAAAGGGTCGAGTCCTTTCCTGTCCAAACCTTCTCCCTCCCACCTTGGATGCTGGGTGTTGGTGGGGGGTGGCACTGGGTACCCTGAGGAGGGGTGGATGGGATGGGGGTCCCGTGCTGCTCTGGGAGGGTCCTGTGCCTGGGAGGGTGAAGCTTTTCTCCACACCAGGGTTGGGTCTCTGCAGTCTGCTGTGCATAGGGGTGAAGAGTTTCGGGATGCAGTGAGAGATGGTGCATGGGGACCCTCATTCCTCATTACCACTGGGCTGCGGGGGGTCTGGGGACATGCCAGAACCAGGCTGGGTGTCTCTGGGGGGGATGAAGGTTAGGACAGGAGATCTGGGGGTGTGATGGGAAAGGCTGGGGGGGGATCTTTGGCAGATGGTGATGTGGGTCCCTGGGGACAGGGCTGTCTGTGCAAGGGGGGTGAACCTCACTGTGTCCCCCACCCCATCCTGGGGATTCTACCACTGCAGGTGAGCCGGGTGCTGCGCCCAGGGGGCTGCTTCATCTCCATCACCTTCGCACAGCCCCACTTCCGCAAGCCCCACTATGCCCAGGAGGCCTTCGGCTGGTCCCTGCGCCATGTCACCTGCGGGGACGGGGATGCCGGCACCTTCCACTTCTTCCTCTACGTCATGCGCAAGGGGCAGCCCCTGGCCCCCCCCGACCTGGCCCTGGGGCGCCATCTGCACCAGCCCCCCCCACCTCCCGACCCACCGCCACCCCCTGCCCCCCCAGATGATGAGGACTACCTCCTCGCCATCGAGCTGTGACCCAGGGGTTTTCCTGGCCTCCCCACACACAATAAAGCCTTAAGCTGCTCTGCCTTCATGGGTGGGGGACAGGGGACCAGTGCTCCCTCCCCACCCCACAAGCTGCCCAGTGATGTGAGCAATGGGGAGAAGGGGGGGAGCTTGGCCCCCTCCTGGGAGCAGCAGGATGCTCCAGGGAGGGGGTGATGCTGTGCCCCCTCCCAGCCCTTCCCTCGCCCAGCTGGAGAGCAGCCAGGGCTCTGGGCTTTGCGGACAGTAATGAAACCAAATCGGGTTTAATTCCACCCATCCATCTTGCAAAGAGCAGCTCCCTGTGTCCCACCCACTCCAGTGGGGGCAGCTGGGCTGCAGGGTGCCCACTGTCCTGCACCAGGACCCCTGGACCAGCCTCCCTGGCCATGGGGCTGTGCAAGGACACCATGTCCTTGTCACCCCCAGCCGGGTGGCAGGGGGTCTGGGATGGGTTGTGCCATATATGCCTGTGTACCCCCTCAATTCCCACTCCTGGATGCAGTGACAGCACTGGTGTGCCACACGCCTGGTCTGTGTCTGCCCGTGCCTGGGGCTAGCAGCACAGTGACACGCGTGTGCTGGGGCTGGTGACAGCCATGCCACCGCATGCTGGTGGGGCTGGCTGCATGTGGGTGCTGCCATGGCAAGTGGCATCATGGGTATCCCCACTTGGGCACCAAACCCCCTCGAGGTTGGTGACACTGATGGTGGGGTGCAGAGGGGACCCGTCCTTGGGGGGACAGTGATGACACCAAAGATGCAAAGCTGCCGGGCTGCTATTCCTGGCAAATGGCATAAGTGGGTCAAGCGGTGGCTCCCTCCGCACCGGGAGCTGGGGAAGAACTCCAGGCTCAGCCCCCACCCCGCCATGCCACCCCATCCCACCAGCACCCTGGAAACATGTTGGCACATGGCAGCAACGGGAAGGAGCAGGCGCTGCTGGCCTCGCCTCGGTACATGAATGTATTTTATTCATCGCATTTTGTTCACCAGTACAGTGAAAAATGGCATTTAAATTTACAATGGATCATTCGTAGAACATCATGACACAAGTATCTTTTTTTTTTCTTTTCTTTTTTTTCATGTTTTTTTCTCGTTTTTGGTTTTTGTTTGGGATTTTTTCGCCATGTTGTGGGGTTGGTTTTCTTTTTTGCGTCGTAGTCTCCATAAATGCCACTCGCAGGTTATTGAAAAAGATGGCGAGTTCCTCATGCACATCAGACCCCCGAGAAGCCTCTTGAAAAATAAAATTAAATTAAAGTACAAAATTAAAAACAACGACTCGGGCCGGTCCCTGCCCCCTGCTACCCTCGCACTCGACGAGGGGCCGGTGCCTGCCGCTGCCCCGGTGGGCTCTGCCCGGTGCTCCGGGAGGGCACTGCGGCGGCCGGTGGTGCTGTCCCACTGCTGGGGCTCAGACCGGGGGTCCCCGCGCTCCTCCCCACACCTTTGGCTTTCCTCATGCTCCCTCCATCGCTCTCGCCCCCTTCATTTCCCCCCTCCCCTCGGTTTTTTCTTCTTTTTTTGTCTTTTTTTTTCTTATGGAAAAAAATATGAACCTTTTTTTTTTTTGTGTTTTTTTTTTTTCTCGTTTGCGTGTTTGTTTTCTCGGTGCGGTTGCTTCGACATCTCAACGTCAGCAGATCGTTTTTAACAAATATTCGGATATAAAAATACAAATATGAGGAGTTTCTGTTTAAAAAGAAGCGTGCCGGAGTGGTGGGGCTGACCCTCGGCCCCTGCACCGGGAGCCCGGGCCACCAAGCTCATGCAAAAAACGATGGAGCAAAAAATGTCTCTGGACAGCAGCGCTCCCCCCTCCGCTCGTGGGGCCGGGTCCGCCCCGGGGTGGGGGGGCCGCGCCGCGGAGCGGGAGGCTGGAACCCCCACACCCCCGGGGAGAGGGGGGGATGTCTTTGCCCAGGGCGGGGGGCTCGGCGGGTCGTCCCTCTCCCGGGGGAGGGGTAAAGTGCATGGCCGGGGGGGGTGGTGTCGGCCGCAGAGCCCCTCTCCCGGGCCGGGGGAGGGGGGGCACTGGCTCGGCCTCCCCCTCCTCGTCGGCGGTGCAGCCAGCATGCGGGGCCGGGCGGGCTGGGAGCGGGGCACGGCCGGCGGGTCCTGGCGGCGGGTCCCGGCTTACACCCCCGGCGGCGACTTCTCCGTCATGCCCTTGAGCACCTCGTCTATCCGGTCATCCTCGATCACCACTGCGGGGACAGGCGGGGGGCTCGTGGGCGAGGGGACGCGGACCCGGCTCCTGCCCCACACCCCGGCTCTCGCCCTGCTCGCCCCCCCAGGAGAGCTCCAGATGCGCCCGCAGATGTTGGGGAGCAGGGCCAAGGGGTTCAGGTGGGTGCAGTGGGGATGGGGGGAGTGCCCCCCTTCTCCTGCCACGTTTGGATAGGGCAGCACACCCCCTTCCCTCCCCCCCCCCCCGCAGCCAGGCGGCCGCCTCTGGATGAGCGGTTTGGGAAGGGGGAGCAGGAACAGACCAGGAAGGACCCCCCCCCCTCTCTCTGCGGCAGGCGCTGATGAGAGCAACAGGACTGGAATGGGTAATGACCCAGCGGGGGGGGGCACCGCTAGATCGGCGAGGGGAGCAGCCAGACCCCTGCCAGCATCACCCACTACACAGGACACCCCCCCCCCCCCATCGGCATCACTGTTGGGGGAGCCAGACAGGACTCCAACCCTCATCAGCATGGCAGCCTGCACAGACCCCCAACATTGCTATCACCATGAGGGGCTGGACAGCCCCCTGTCAGAATCACCCTCCAGACAGACCCCCCTCAGTATCACTCGCTGGGCCATCTCCCCCCCTTCAACCAACATCACCAGTGGGAGGCTGGACAGACCCCCATCAGCATCACTGTCAAGGGGCTACACAGACACCCCCTCTCCCCCCAGATCAACATCACTGGTTGGGCAGATCTCCCACAGCACCATCACCCTTGGGAGTGGAGAACAGAACCTCCCCCATCATTACCAGGGCGGTCAGCAACCCTCCCCATCACCACCCTGGGGGTGAATTGGCCAGACACCCCCCCCTCCCCAATACCAGCATCACTGGGGAACAGCCATAGCCCTCCATCACCAGGAAAGGAGATCTGTCCCCCCATCACCCCCGGGGGGTTGCTAGACCCAGAACCACCATCCCAAAGGGGGGCAGGTGGAGCAGGCAGTGGCTCCCCTCACACAGGGCTGAGGTATATTTATGCTGGGGGGGGAGCTCTGGTGCCCTCCCCTTTTGCCCCTGCAGCTCAGAGGGGGGTGTTTGCCTATAGATGTCCCCCCAAGCAGGTGGAGTGGGGGCTGCAGGGAATGTGGGGGCCATTCTTGGGGTCTGTAAGGCATCAGGGAGGATCAATGGTGGCAGATCATGGTGCAGGGGAAGTGGGGCCATTTATTTGGGTTCTAATAGGAGCAGAGGAGCTGCTGAAGGGGGTCTCTGCGGCAGGGAGTAAAGCGGGTGGAAGGGGGGAAGAGCAGGACACACACAGGCTCATGGAGTCCTGGGGCGACAGTAAACCCGGGGGGGGAGGGGGGGTTTGTTTGTTGATCAGCATCGCCGGCAGCTGCTGGTGGGGGTCTCTGCAGCAGGCGGAAATGTGGAGGGAGAGAGGGTGATGGAGCTGGAGGGGCAGTTCTGGTGATGTGGGGGTGTTTGTTTATAGGGAAGGGGGGGGTGGAACAGTCCGGGGGGATGCAGGGACAATCCCAGGGATGATGAGGAGCAGTACCAGGGGGTCCCGGGGGCATTCGTAGAAGTGCTGGGGGGGCAGCCCCAGGGATGCTTGGGGACAGCCCCAGGGATGCTGCAGGGTAGTCCCGGGGGGAGCCCCAGTCTGCCAGGGGTGTGAAACAGAACGGGGGGGACAGCACTACCGTCTTAAGCTGGGAAAAGGGGCTGCTGAGGTTTTGGGGTGATGCCGGGTGCCATTTGCAGAGCTGGGGGTCCCAGGGCTCCCGGGGGACAATGCCAGGGATGATGTGGGGCAGAGCTGGAGATTCTGGGATGCCGGAGCAGTGCTGGAGATACTGGGGGGTAGTGCCGGGAATCCTGTGGGGCAGTGTCAGAGGTACCCAGGGGACAGTGCTGGGGATGCAAGGCAGAGCTGGGAGTCCCAGGAATGCTGTGGGGCAGTGCTGGCGATGTAAGAGCCAGTGCCGGGGATGTAAGAGTCAGCACCGTTAGTACTGGAAATGCCGTGGGGCAGTGCCGAGGATGCTGCAGAGCAGATCCGGGGGATGCCGTGGGGCAAAGCCGGGAACACAAGGGCAGAATCGGGTCTCCCGGGGATGCTGTGGGGCAATGCCGGGGGTGACAAGGATGCACTGAACAGTGCTGGGGATGCCGGGGATGCGAGGGCAGAATCGGGGGTCCCGGGGCTACTCTGGGGCGGCGCTGGGGGTGCAAAGGCCAGTGCCAGGGATGCCGGGGAGCAGCGCCGGGGATGCTACAGTACAGATCCGGGGGTCCCGGGGCAGAGCCGAGGATGCAAGGACAGATCCGGGAGTAGCAGGGATGCTGTGGGGCAGCGCTGGAGATGCAAGAGCCAGCGTCAGAGGTGCCAGAGATGCTGCAGGGTAGACGCGGGGGGTCCCGGGGATGCCGTGGGGCAGCTCTGGGCTTCCGTGGGGGCTGAGGCGGGGTCGGTGGGGGGCAGAAGCGGGGGGTCGGGCGGTACCTCTCTTGGCGCGGCCGATCTGTCCCAGCTTGGGGGGCCGCTTGCCCTGGTTGCCCGCGAAGAAGGCGTTGGTGTCCTGCAGGCGGCAGCTGAAGGGCAGCTCCCCCGCCTCGGGCTCGGCGCCGTAGCGGCCCACCTTGTCCTCGCCGTAGGGCAGCACCTGCGACATGGCGGGGCCGAGCGGGCCGAGCCGCGCCGCGCCGAGCCGGGAGCCGGTCTGCGGCGGCGGCAGCGGCGGCGGGGAGGAAACCCGGGCGGAAGGATGAAGTCATGCATCCGGGGGGAGCGGGGACCCCCCCGGCGGGGGGCGGCTCCGGAGCGCCGCGGTCCGGCCCGGCCGGACAGGGACG